ATTCTTTGAAATCTCTTCATTGCTAATTAACTATAAGGGGTTACTTAATTAGAACTTTATGTTGAATTTTATATAAAACTTCAAGTTTTTCTATGAGACAGTACTATATATATTGTCCTTAGTCAAGAAGATGAAGAGATACGTTCAACTTCTCATTGATTTCATCACTAATTAATCTCTAAATATAAGCGTTCGGCTGCTAAAAAGCTCCACAAAATGGACAAAGGTCCTGATAATCTGGTGAAGAAGTAAGTGGAGGAAACATTCCTGCATGGCATCCACCGAAAGATGGATGATTTCTTTCGAGTGGCCGTCACTTTCGAGCAGTTTTGAGGCTTTCAGCCATGCCTGCCTTTGAATATTCTGCCAGTAATGGTCAGGCAGGCATGAAGTTCATCAATCATGAACAGAGGACCTACTTGCAAGTCTTGAACTTTATTTATTCTCTTAGTCGTTTTTAATCACTTGTTACTATCGAGAGCTCTTATGGAATGATTAAATTTACAAATTAGTCTGAGTCGGATTTGAGTCATAGCTAACTTGAACTCGATTTGCCTATTTGAAAGTATGCAGATGCATGCTAAAGCTTGAGTACGTTGACTTACCATGTCTTCGTAAGGCTTGAGCTCGACTTGCGAGCTCGTTTCTCTCGTATATTTTGAAATCCTCATTAATACTAATGAAGACGGGAAGTCGTGATAGGAGCTCAAGAGAGAAGTCAAAGTCATAAGATCCTATCGTTGGAGAAGGCGAATTTGTGCTATAATTAGCTCACCAGAGAGTTTGAATTTGGGATTGGAGCTCAATGGAGAAGGCAAAGTTGCCGCGAGAGGTTGCTGAAGAAGATGAAATCGCGATGTGTACTTATGTATTTGTATAACTAACACTTCAAATTAGAGAGAGAGACTTTTTATTTCTAAATCATATTAAGGTATGTACATAAAAATATACTTGTTATCTAAAATAAATAAATATTATTAATATTTTTTATCTGATCAGAAGTTTGATTGTGAAGTTGGGCTTTAGCTATTCATACACAATTACCTTGAGTGGGAATTGGGCTGAGTAGAACATATTCCATTTAGTTAATGGAACCAAGTTCAATTTATGCTTGATCTAAGCACTAAGCTTGATCTCAAGCTCGACTCGAGCTCATTTATTGAGCTCGAGGACTTGAATGCCAGAGCTTGAAAGTAAGCTTGAGTTTTACTCTTTTTAAGAGCTTGAGTTTTTATTTTGAATATGAACATGAAATGCATTGCAGCTGTTAGAATACTTTCTAATAACTCAGAAAAAAGTTGGCCAACTGGTCCGAAAAGTGCTTAGAAAGCTCCTTTACAGAACCCCATCATTCTCATGGACAACAAAGCACCGCAAAAAGTATGTGGCCTAATTTTTATTAATAGAAAAAAATAAAGAACAAAAGTAGAGGGACTAAGAGCCATCTCAGATTTTTAATGTGCTGATTAGCCAAATTTAATGAATCCATATGAGCTGAATTTGAGTCATAAACAAGCTCAAATTTGAGCACTTTATGACTTAATTCAGCCACCTCGTTGATATATGATCTTCTAATATCTTACATATTACTACTGATTTTTGAATGAAACAGAAAAATCTTAATGATTTAATGTAAATCTCATGAGCTACCCCTCAAGCTCAAGAGCTCGAGCTCAAGTTTTGCCCATAAATTCAACTAGAATTCAAACTCAACTTGAGTCATTTCACACTTCTAAGAACAAGCTAGATAGCAAAGAACTTTTCTATGTGGAATATGATTGTGTTGATCAATTGGGTTGTTCAGTAGCCTCGGGCCTCAAGTTTGTCGTATTTTGTTGGGGGTGAGGGGGGTTTAACCCCTGCTTGAAAGCACCTGATTTTCTTTAGTACAACACCCCGACGTTATGGACCCGAGCACACCGGCGTTGTCTACATGAGCGCCCCAGTATTAAACGACAGAGAGCGGAGCACCGCAATGGTCTAGATACGACACCGCAGTGGATCAAAACAGAGGTTTGAGCGTCGCAGAGCCCCAAACTGATGCCGCAACACTTCAAGACGGACTAAATGGTTTTCTTTCTCGTTTTTCTAACGGGTTGCGCCCCTTCGAATTATTTAACTTGGCTTTCTCTTGTATTTCTAATAGTTAGATATTAAGAACGGCACATGTGCGAAGAGAAGCAACGAGAGATCAATAGAGAAGAGAAATCTGTATTTATTTCTCATAATTTTCAAAATAGATTTCTTGGTATGTTGTGGCTCCATGATTTTTTCCCTATTTTGAGTTTTTTCACGCTAAATCCTGATGTCTTTTATTTCTCTGTTGCTTTTATTTTCTTACTTGTTTTATTATTATGATGTTTATTTCTCCTCATCCCAACAAGAACCTATTAAAGAAGAACAGTTCATGCTTAATAATTGTGCAGACAAAATATGGTGATGTTTTCCTTCCTCTCTCGTGTACCTGAGACATCATCTTTGTTCCCCACATTCTAATTTTTCAGGTCTGATTGATTGCATGTACTACTGGCTTCCACATTCCAAACAAATTCTCCTTAAATGCAACTTCTTCTTTGCGTCTAAGGCTAAGCTTCTAATTTTTTATATAGAAAGACTAAATGAATTTTTTTCTTTGCAAGTCATCAATGGGAATTTTGATGTAATCGAGTGATCCAAATAATAGCTAGAAGGTGTTCTTATGAAACAACTTTCTTACTGTTTTTTAAAATAACTTTTTAGCATATTTTTTTTTGTTAATATTATAACATTGATTAGATTTTCCATATTAATTTTGTTTCAAATCTATATAAAGAGATTTGAGGGCTATTGTAAGTAAGAGTTAATTGTAATCCTGTTTTTCTCGATAGTAGAAATAAGAGATCATCCCCTTCCTGTGAGTGTAAGCAATTCCTAAACCCTAAACCATATAAATCTCATCATGTTGATTGTGCGAATTTCTATTTTTTTCGCTTCGTATTGCTATGTAAGGAAATCCGATTATTTTAGCGGTTAGAAATTTTGCTATTATTTGATAAAATTTGAAACGAGAATTTTGAGCTTGATTCGAGCTCGGCTCACTCGAACTCGATTCAGATTCTTATTAGTGGCTCCTATAAAATAATATTCTTATTCTTAGTCCACCATTGCCTCAATAGCCTTATTTAAACCGGAACAATGAAAATTCAGAAGGCAAGGTAATTTCCTTCTCTCCTATATACAGATACCTCCATGCCTAAGCTTCTTCTGCCTCAAAATAGCAATGCAAATAATCAGCTTGAAGAAGGTTAGCATTTCATTAAAAACTTAGGCTTCGTTTGGGACGGTTTTTTTATTGCTTTCTAAAATGGAGTTTTAGTACAAATTTTTTTATTTTTTAACTAAAACTCCGTTTTAAAAAGCGATAAAAAAGCCGTCTCAAACGAAGCCTTAGGCTCCATTTGGAACAACTTTCTTAATGTTATATAAAGCAGCTTTCTAGTATAATTTTTTTTAATTTGAAATTTTCGTACTAGAAAATTATTTTAGAAAGAGTAGGAAAGCTGTCCAGGCTTGGCTTGGGACAGCTTTCTTAAAGTAACTTTTTAGTATCAAAATTTTAAATTTTTATACTAAAAAACTGCTTTAAGAAGCAATAAGAAAGCCGTCCCAAACAAAAATTTAGGCTTCGTTTGGGACGGTTTTTTATTGCTTTCTAAGAAGCAATAAGCAAGCCGTCCCTATAAGAAAGCCGTCCCAAATAAAAAAAATTATACTAAAACTCCGTTTTATAAAGCAGTAAAAAAGTCGTCCCAAACGAAGCCTTAATCACTCTTCATAATTCCTTTTCTTCCTAATTAGTTTTCCCATTCCTTACTATTAACAGTATTGTTTGAACAACATGGAGCAGGTAATGCAAAGCTGAAGATCAATAAAATGGTAAGTTAATTATCCTCGACAACAATGCTCTCACCGGCTCAATCCCTTCTGGTCTCAGCAATTGCACCGATCTCAACCGGATCTCTCTCTCCAGTAACCACTTCACCGGCGAGACACCGTCATGAATCGGCCGGCTTGAGAATCTCGCCATCCTTAAGCTTGGAAACAATTCCTTCTCCGATTCCATTCCATCGGAGCTCGGTGACTGCAAGAGCCTCATATGGTTGGATCTTAACAGTAATCGGTTGAGTGGTACTATCCCATCCACTCTATCAAAGCAATCCGTAATATAGCCGTTGGATTTGTAACTGGAAAGAGATATGTCTATTTAAAGAATGATGGGAGCAAGGAGTGCCGAGGTGCAGGGACGGTGAAGAGATACAGAATAACACATAGGGTAATTCCTGATTGAAGCAAAAAACTTTCCCAACCAAAAACAAAACTCTTACTGAATTGGAACCATTCGTAGTAAGGTGGATCGAATATGCCTTCGACTTCAGATTTTCCATCTGCGGGGAACGGTGCGTCGGCGAAGAAGAGATCGAGGCCTATGGCTTTGGTAGGTTCCGTAGGGACGGTGAAGAGGCGAACGAGGTCGGAGAGGGCGGAGTTGCGACGTTTGCTGTGACCAGAGCGAACGGAACAAACGGAGTGGTTTTTTTTATTAAGTTAAATGTTTTGAGGTGGTATATTAGTAAATAGATAACTTTAGGTGTTTAATAGGTAAATATGATAGTTTTAAGTGTTATACATGTAAAACCCCCTAAAATTATTACATTTTTATTCGGTGTAAATGAGAATTTTATTCTTAATAGGACACAATGAAAAAAATGATTCTTATAATTGACCCCACGTAGTAGGATAAAGATTTATTGTTCTTGTTATTTTTATTTTGAAAAAAAAAAACAATGTAAAAAAAAATCATTTAAATTTAAGCCAACTCGGCTCAATAATCAATCCAAATTTGATAAAATTTGAAACGAGAATTTTGAGCTTGATTCGAGCTCGACTCACTCGAACTCGATTCAGATTCTTATTAGTGGCTCCTATAAAATAATATTCTTATTCTTAGTCCACCATGGCCTCAATAGCCTTATTTAAACCGGAACAATGAAAATTCAGAAGGCAAATTAATTTCCTTCTCTCCTATATACAGATTCCTCCATGCCTAAGCTTCTTCTGCCTCAAAATAGCAATGACAATAATCATCTTGAAAAAGGTTAGCATTTCATTAAAAACGTAGGCTTCATTTGAAACAGCTTTCTTACTATTATATAAAGTAGCTTTCTAGTATAAAAATCTTTTTTAATTTGAAATTTTCGTACTAGAAAATTATTTTAAAAACAGTAGGAAAGCTGCCTAGGCTTGCCTTTGGACAGCTTTATTACTGCTTTTTAAAATAATTTTTTAGTATCAAAATTTTAAATTTTTTATACTAAAAAACTGCTTTAAGAAGCAATAAGAAAGCCGTCCCAAACAAAAATTTAGGCTTCGTTTGGGACGGTTTTTTATTGCTTTCTAAGAAGCAATAAGCAAGCCGTCCCTATAAGAAAGCCGTCCCAAATAAAAAAAATTATACTAAAACTCCGTTTTATAAAGCAATAAAAAAGCTGTCCCAAACGAAGCCTTAATCACTCTTCATAATTCCTTTTCTTCCTAATTAGTTTTCCCATTCCTTACTTTGAACAACGTGGAGCAGGTAATGCGAAGCTGAAGATCAATAAAATGGTAAGTTAATTATGACTGGAAATTTGTTGCTATGAGCTTTACAGCACGTTAAAAATAAAATAATGAAAATAATTAATTAAATTAATGAATTTTTAATATAAATATTAAATTTTTATGTCAGGATTACAATTATAAGTCTCTACTGGTATCAGTTGATGGAGCAAAGCTGCCTCAGCCATCACCGAGCCCTCCACCGCAGCATCATACTTAAAGCAGCAGCAGCAGCAGCAGCGCAGTAGCAGATATATAATTACTACCACCATGCTTTCTGATGTATAAGGCCAGCATTATGGATACTTAATTACTGATCATTAGCTGCTAATTATTTGGGTGTACTCAGCTTAATCAGCCTAATGCTTTCATTATGAAAATATAGTTTATATGCATGAGTAATAAATTAATTATTATATAGTAATTATCTCAAAGTGAATTGAATAAGTAGAAAATTCATTCTGAATCAGATAAAATTTTTTTTCATGATTATGAATTTTTTGTACTAAAAAGTATATATATATATAAGACTCAAACCCAAAACCTCTTAGTTAGTAGTCAAAGCTCGCAACTAAGGGCATCTCCAACCGAAAATCCCATCTTTCACTCCAAAATGAAGTGAAACTAAAAAATGCCGTGATTCATCTCCAATCGAACTCCATTTTGCGCTCTTTGGCGAAGATAATCATTTTTCTCCTCTTTCGCATGTTTCTTCGACAAATCCGGCTGAAACAAAAAAATCACGTAGGTGAACAGTGCAACACTGTTCACCTTCCACCGATTAGAAATATTTTTGCTATTCGAATGGAGCAAATCAGATACACCTTACAGTTGTTTGGAATTCAACGTACGTTCCTGTACGTTCGGCCACCAATGTATTAGCGCCACGTAGCAGGAAGAAAAGACGTCGACCCGATCTGCAGTTTTTTGGGTTCTTGCACGTGCATTTTTTTAAATCCTTGACGAGCCGAACAACACCCATCACCTTTTGGATATATTTCAAATACCTAGCATTACCGAGCAAATACCGAGTTGTACCTGGTTTTTTCTAGCAATACCGAGCAAATACCTAGCAATACCGAGCAAATCCCTAGCAATACCGAGCAAATCCTGAGCAAATACTGAGTTGTACCGAGTTTTTTCTAGCAATACCTAGCAAATACCTAACAATACCGAGCAAATCCTGAACAATACAGAGCAAATGCTGAGCAAATACCAAGTTGTACTGAGTTGTACCGAGTTGTAAAAAACTCGGTACAACTCGGTATTTGCATGGTATTGGTCTTCACAGAGCGGTATTTCTCATTTTTACAAAGCAATACCTAGCAAATACCGAGCAATACCGAGAAAATCGCGAACATAGCATTTCTGGGTTCCGCTCCGAGTCAAGTCGTCGGGCCGCACGATTTAGAGTAAGAGCACGTGGCGACATGTTATTGGCGGCCGAACATAACTCTACGTCAGATCATGAGAGGACGTAATAATTGTTCCCCTAAGAGACCAAGTTATGTTGCCTAAAATATCTTACAAGCAACTTTCGATCAAGACTTTAAATGACTTCAGATTTGACAAGTTTCAGACTTTTAAGATTCAAATTATTTCATAATCAGCAATTTACTGAATCGCGTTCATTTTTTATAATAAGCCAATTAATCTGATCTACATAAACATGAAAGTATGTCTCTATCTCTCTCTCTATATATTATACAAGAAAAATTAATATTAAAAAAGATAAGTTCGGTTGATTCTTCCTATCCACATCAACTTGGGGCAAAGATGACTTCCACGCTCTGCGATCAATAATAATTTTTATTTCAGAAATATTTCTCTCTCTCTATATATTTTTTTGAAGTTTAAATGTCAAAATAATCCCTTTATAATTCATATATGAGCATTTTAATTCTAATAAAATAATATTGTTCTAATTTAATCCGTTCATTATAAAAAAATAATTTAAGATAATTTCTTTGATATTAAATTAATATGAACTTCATATACAATTATAATATGAGACTATTTAAAATTTTTTGCAATTATTTTGATTTGTATTCTGCAATCAATTTAAAAAAAAAATATTTTATTTCGAAAAAAAATCATTTAAGGATAAGATATCGACTCATCCTAAAATAGATTCAAAAACATTAAAATTTATCCTAATTCTTTTTATTTCCCATCTTTGTTATTATCCCGTTGAACCCTATCCTTTGCCTGTTTTTCGGCCCGCGATATATAACGGACTTGTCCTCCCCTCCCAGTTTGAGTCGCCTTCTTCTTCCCCACCTCTCCCCAAACTTCTTCGTTACAGCCAGCCATGGCCACTGCTCGAGCATTGCTCTTCGTTCTTTTCATCTCCTTTACATTGATCTGTTCATCTTCTTCAACCCCGAGGAAGACCGCTAGAATCTATGAACTCAGGAAAGGGGATTTCTCCATCAAGCTCACAAACTGGGGAGCTACAATACTCTCCGTTATCCTCCCAGATTCCAAAGGTCTGTTTTTTTTTTTTCTCGTAATTTTCGTCATGGATTTTTCTCTCTGATATAAATCATAATGCATCAAAGATGCAATTTTTCGTCATTCTTGAGTCGAAATAGTGGTCAGTTTATCTGAATGTGATTAACTGCTTTCTCTCTCTTCAGGGAATTTGGCTGATGTTGCTCTTGGATATGAAGGGATTGGTCCATATATTGTAAGCCTTTTGAGGATTTTGTTCACCCCAATATTTGTCTTTTTGATTTGATAAGCAAGAACTATTTGTATTGATGAGGTCATCTTTGGTCCATTGCTGATTTCACTTGACTTTAGTTTATCAGTCTATGTGTTATTTGCACAAAACTTCCTTTAGTTTGGGTTATTTTATTTGTTAAAGTGCAATAGTTCTAAAATTTTGCAAAAATAATAATAATAATTGGGGATTAGAATAATCAATCATACCTATTACATAGCTAGGGGTTGCAAACAAGGATAGTAGTGTATATGTTTGATTTTGTTGGTTTAACAAGTAAATAAGAACGCAACTCATCTTGATCTGTTGGTTGGGAGCTTTGGTTATCAATCGAGAGGTCTTGTGTTCGAGTCTCCCGTATGTGATGTATGTGTGAGTTTGACTTAATTGACCTAAACGCTCCCAAATAAGTAAACATGACAAATATATGTATAATTTTTTAGCTCTTTTACACACCTTATGCTAAGAGGAAATTAATCTACTATATCATTGACTGAATATGGAGGTAAGAAATAATAACCTCCAATTTTGGGGATATTACATATAAACACCTACCATTATTGGGGGTCCTACCTATTCTGTCTTTATTATGTAATAAGTCAACATCTACCTCATATTAATATTGCCGTTTATGTACAATTATGACATTACTTTTAAGGTTAGATCTAATTTGCATAATTTCATAATAGATTCTAATAATAACATATAATAATAATAATAATATCAATGTTTCAAAGCTCTGACATTTATGTCAGATTATCAAGAAATTCTGCATATATGTTAGAATATGTTATTCTTTTTTGCAAAAATAGTAAATTATTATCTTTGTTTATAATTTTTAAAACTGATCATAATTTTCTTCTATATTATAATATGAATCTTAAAACTGTTCATGAATTTCCTTGTAAGTGCTAACCTGTAGTTTTTGTATTCTGATCAGAATGGGACTACTAACTTCGGAGCATTGATAGGTAGGGTTGCCAATAGAATTGCAGGGTCTCGATTTGTTCTAAATGGAACTGCACATAGATTATATCCTAATGATGGAAAGAATTCACTTCATGGTAAATTTAATTTTCAGAATTTTTTAGAATTGGCATGTAATTTTTGCAGAGCTTCTTTATGATTGTTTTTGCTGAATTTTTAGGTGGTCATAGAGGATTTAGCCGTGTGTTTTGGACAGTAGACGAGAAGGTAGATGGGGAATTTCCTTACATTACATTCTATTACTACAGTTTTGATGGGGAACAAGGTATGGCTTATCTATGCTGATATTAATTGGTCAAAAAAAATTTTTTAGTAGCTCTTATAAATTTGAAATGTGAATATGATTGAAAAAATCAAGGTCACAAGCTTTGGCTTTTGGATTTTATTTGATAAACATCTTGTGAAGAGGTTTAATGCTTAATAGTCAACAAACCATGATATTTCCAATGCATTTCTCTTATTTTTTCATTTCAAAGGTCCCTTTCTTTCTGTCTAATTTTAGCTATAAATTATGAAGTTAATGTTAATTTGTGGAGTCTAACTTTGACCCTATGAAAAAATATGCAATGAAAATTTAAATTGTTTATCTTTTTGTCTATTGGGTGAACTTTTATAAAGTTTTTTGTATGTTTTTTAAGTGTTAATATTATTCTCTGTTTTTTATTATTTTTTCTCTCTATATTTGAATAGATTTCGCTGATTAACCAATAATTCTTGAGTTCAAATTGAAGTTATCTTATTTAAACACTTTGACATTAGGGGTGTCAATTTCAGGTCACGGGTTGGGTTCAGGTCGAACCCGAAACTAATTCGGCATTATTCGGGTCAACCCAATCCCAACCAATTTTTGCAAACATGTTGATTTTTTGGACCCAAACCTGACCCGCTTCGAGTCCGGGTCAACCCGAATGACCCGGGGCCGTGAAAAAATTGCTAGTTTTTGGTTAAAAAATGGTTCAATCTCCACTTTTTGGGTCAAAAACCGGTCAATATTCGGTTTCTGGGTCAAAACGGGTTTTCGGGTCAAAACAGGTCAATTTCAGGTCAAAGGGTCAACTTTTGAAACGGGTCGAATTGTTGAACCTGAACCCAACCCATTTCGGGTACGGGTTGATCCTAATCTGGAATTTTTGGGTCGGGTTCGAGTCGGGTTTTCGGGTCATGTCAATTATTGACACACCTATTAGCATGAAAACCATGACATTCGAAATATCTTTCCTTATTTTCATTGTAAACATCCTCTCTTTTTTAAACTTTGGTATGAAGATTTTGGTTCTTGAGTTGTTGATATCATTGTGCGGCAACTTAAAACAATGCAAACCATCCAAGCATGCTTGTTCTTGGGAGCTAAACACAGTGTACAAACCTTGATGTACTTCAAAGTCAGTAGAATGCTAATAGTGACTATTCTCTTGTTCTGATAAAATAATATCCTGTGATGGAGCAATAATACTACTAGTACATCAAACGCTTGAACAGGCTTTCCCGGCGATCTCAACGTTTTTGTCACTTACAAAATTTCGGGTCCATATGAGCTAAGTGTCATCATGAAAGCCTCGCCGAGGACGAAAGCCACGCCGGTAAACCTTGCCCAGCATAATTACTGGAACCTTGGTGGACACAACTCTGGCTCAATTCTCTCCAACAAAGTTCAGATCTTTGCTTCACTTATCACTCCAGTAGATGAAAATCTAATCCCAGTTGGATCAATCTCCTCAGTCACTGAGACTCCTTATGACTTCCTCAAGCCGCAGACTGTCGGAAGCCGAATCGATGAAGTTGAAGGCGGCTACGACATTAATTATGTTGTTAATGGTAATGGAATGAAGAAGGTTGCTATTGTGAAAGACGAAAGATCAGGGAGGCAATTTGAGCTCTGGTCAAACCAGCCTGGAGTCCAGTTTTACACTGGGAATTTCCTTGATCATGTTGAAGGTAAGGGAGGGGTGATATATGAAAAGTATGCTGGATTGTGTTTGGAGACACAAGGCTTTCCTGATTCTGTAAATCACCTGCAATTCCCCTCACAGATTGTTAATCCTGGAGAGGTTTACAAGCATGATATGGTGTTCAAGTTTTCATTTTGATGTTAAGGAAAAAAAAAAAAGCTAATTCTTCGTTTGGGACGGCTTTCTTACTGCTTTTTAAGACAATCTTTTATTATAAAAAAGAACAAATTTTGCACTAAAAAATTGCTTTAAGTTGCAATAAGAAAATCGTCCCAAACGAAACCTAAATGTGATTATTGCGTGTGGATGTGGCACAATATAAGCTATTCTTGGAATAAAATTTTGTGTGTTTTTGTATTTATCTGTGTATAATGTTTTGAAGTACTTGAATTAAATTTCAAAAGAAGTTCATCCATGAGAAGCTATGTAGCAAATATACGTGTAGTTTGTCGGATGAGGGGTTTCAGCATCTTTGCAGATAATTGAACTTTATACTACATTTATTTTATTTTAAATTAAATAAAAAATATTCATCTATATTTGATTTTTATTCATCCTAATAATTTTAAAATATTCTTTTTATACTGTATTTTTTTTACACTGCATTTCATGTTTTAGCAAACTAAACCGCCCCCTTATAGCATCTGTTTTTGGTGGGCCATTATGTAAATCTTCGGCCCAGCAAATAAGTCCAAAGGAACTATTACTTCGTTAGATTTTTTTGTGGGCCATTGTGGACTCTGTTAGTTTGCAGGTGATAGCAATTCATAGTGGCGCTTTAATGGAAACTATGCACGATTATTTAATGGTCTAATTAGGACATAAAATTAAGCATGTTTATTTAATCACGTAGAAAAAAGACCAAAAGAGCTAAAGAGTTAAATAATTTTACCCTTTTTAAATATATTTTTACCCTTTTAAATATATTTAATTTTACCCATTTTAAATATATTTAATTTTTAGCAAAAATTCTTTTTAATAAATATGTTAACTTATCAAGCTTTGATTTGTCTTTTTAAATATTTTTACCCTTTATAAATATATTTCATTTCATATCCATATAATGATATCAGTTCACTGCAGGAGTATTTAAGAATAAGATTTTTAGAAGTTATAAAATTTTTAAAATATAATATTTTATAACATTGATTTATAGGCAAATAATATATATTTCATGAGCAATATATTACATTATTAGAATATAAAATACTAATTATTGTGTCCTAAAATATTTATGGTGATAGAGAGATATAGAGTTTAGCTTTCAAGTTTGTACGTAGATTTAACACAACCAAATAAAGAGATAGGGGTGCAAGAGTAATAAGAGACAACGAGATTTTTACATGAAAAATCCTAAAAAAAGAGGGAATGACCCAGTTAAAATGATTATATTAGTATTTATTGTTGATTACAAATGAGATCCTTCAATGGGGGGAAGGTCTTAGCTTGATGTAACAAATATATATAACAGATATAACACATTGCATGGTGGGAGTTGGAAGAATCAAGTAATATGAGAGTTTTTCTCAAGAGGGAGTTGACATATTTGTTTGGTCAGTAGGACCGTAGTCGGACGAAGGTGTTCGGAAGGATTGTCGTCAGTGCTAAAGCGTATGGGCTGTGTCGGGTCATTACGGGTATTTGAGGCTGCCAGGTGTCGCGATTTGAAACAATACCGAACGTATAGTTGCGTCAGGTAACCTGAGGCAATAAAAATTCCGGTGCTAGTGGGTGACCCAGGTGGTATTCTGTTACAAAAGTGTTGTGATGTCGGAGTTAGTGGGTAATCGAGGTGGGATTCTGTTATGCCGGTACTAGTGGGTGCCATGATAACAAAGATATTTGAAAATCTGAGCCTAAGAGCAATTCTAATAACCATTATGATGTATTTATTTATAATTCAATTAATTTCAAGATTTATTTAATTGAATTCAATTTCAGCATATGATTCAATTCATTTTTCTTTCAAGTGCTCTTAGTATTTGATTTATTATAATACTTTTAGTTGTTTTGATTTTAGTTATTGATTTCTATTTTAGACTATAATAGCCTACCGAATCGTGTTAATTCATCCTTGCTTTTCCTTTTATTTTCAGGACCATAGAAGGATAAGAAAAGAGCTGAGTAGGTTGGATAGTGTGCTCCAATCTATGATGTAGGTATGTTTACGTTAGTTTTGATTTTTGCGTGTTTGATTTTTATTTTGTTATTCTCTCTTTTGCCAAGTGTTGTCTTAGATAGCTTTTAGATTCCTTTTTTTGGATGTTATATAGGAAATCATGTTATGATTGAGTAGTCTTCCATTTTATATTGCATTCAATAATGACTTTGTGTAATTAATATATAAATTAGAATTTTTATTTCAGCACTTATCCAACTAAATTTTAGGGCTAGTCTTGTCACAATGTGACACGATATAACCTGTGTGATATCATGCATATCGAGTTGGGTTGTGATAGAGCAAAGTTCTATTTATAGATTTTTGTGAGTGACATACTCCGTCAATATGAAGAAGATCAAGACAAAATCGGAGTGGTTAATCACATGGCTAATATCAATTCTCTTCATCATAGCGAGTTCATTAAGCATTTGAGTACCAAAATGATGTTAGAATTAGGCGATTTTGAGCACGTTGGATTCGTCTTGTCGAGCCGGTCGATTCAATTATAAGCATGCCATATTTGGATATCACTGGACATCCAATTTATGCTTTGAACTTTTCAAATATGTTTATGTACTTTGAATTGTGTCCATTTGGGTTTTGATTGGACCGATTTTAGTGTCGTTGGGTTTATCTTGTCGAGATGTTCAATTGGCCTACAAGCTTACTGAAATTGGAGTTCGAATGGCTCTAAGTTTAATTTAAAAAATTGGCAACCTATATATGCTTCAAGATTTGTCTAATTAAAACAATTTTTTGTGACATATCAATAATAAATATATTTCATCATATTAAAAAGTACATCTTATTTAACATTAAGATTTCTTTCATGTTCTCCAATGAGGACGTATATAATTGGCTAAGGACAGCATTGCAATTTTAATCAACTTCCCAAGGGACTAAGCATGCGTTGCTTACTACACTTTACAGAATTAATCAACGCGTTTTTCTTATAATTATAAAAATTAGGAAATCATTAAGAAAGAAAAAAAAGACTAATCCGCTAAGGCTTTGCCATGAGATGATGCGTTATGCTTTACTGAACCATATTTTTTTTACTGAAATATATATATTTTATTAGTGCAGGAATGTTTTTTATGTAACTTAATAACTTTATTAATTATTATTTGCATTAGAATGTTTTAAAATTAAATTCAATATCATTAGAGCATTTACATTATTTAACTCCATACAAATTTGCATAAAAATATTTTAAAATTAAATTCAAGATCATCTGAACATTTACCCGAAGAAACTTCTAATTACATATTGATGATGCGAATCCATCAATACGAAAAGTTATTTGATCCGAATCGAAATGAGACCAAATCCAAATATAATTAAAAAGTTTAAGCAATAATTGAAGGATGAAATGTTTTCCAAATATCTCAGACTTATAGTCAAATTAAGCATCTTGATAAGATAAATATAAAAATCCAAAATAATGAAATTTTGATGTAGTGTTTAGCATTTTAATTGTATTTATGGGAAATCTTACTCTTAAAAATTTATAAATAAGCCACTAATCCCGACAAGAAGTTTGAACTTGGATGTTGGCTTGAGCTTCAATAGAATTTTGATGCATAAATAACCCTAATGCTCCACCTGAGCATCACCGCTCGACCACAATCATTGGATTGCCGCCCAATTGTGATTATTGTTAAGCATAAATTAAGCGTAATGAAATCATTTATAATCATTGAGATATATTCATAGAATCATTTAAACTGATGTATATGAATTTATGTGTGAAAACTTTGATCTCTTACAACTCTTTTTTTACATGCATTTGTGTTGAATTTTCATGCAATACTAAAATAAAAATCACTGCCGTTTATAAGTTCACTTAACTTTCTTGCTTTGATTTTTTTTTTTTGAAAATTTCATTTATGCGTAATAAATGTAAGGATAATGATTTAAGTGTATAGTATCTATTAATTTATTTTATTAAAATTTCATTAATGTCTATTTAATTTCATATCCGAAATATTTATAAAGTTTAGCGGTTCGGTCTGTTCAAATTGAAACTGAATTGCCATTTGCCAAACTTAAAATCAGGCGTTATTTTTTCGAAGCTGTTATGTCATAATTTTAAATCTATGAAATATATAAATGGGCTCTTTTTCAAAAACATAAAATATTAATTTTTGATTATTTTTCATTTTTTTAAAATTATTAAAATGACTCATTATTTTATGATCATCATACTACAACAACAACAACCTTTGTCCCACTACGTGAGGTCGGCTACATGAATCCTTTTTGGCCATTGTGTATAGATAAAAGTCAAATTCTTATTTAAATCTAATAAAGAAAGATAATTTCTAATATTTTCTAACCAAGTTTTTTTTTTGTCTACCTCTACCTTTCTTAATATAAGTCAAATCTAATACATCAACTTTCCTAACCGGATCATCGGAAGACCTCCATTTAATCTGACCAAACCATCTAAGGCGACTCTCTCTAATCTTATCTTCCACTGGAGCTACTCCAACCTTTTTATGTATATGCTCATTTCGTATCATATCTCTAAGGGTCAAGCAACTCATCCACGTAAGCATCCTCATATTTTCAACACTTAACTTAGTATTATGCTTCTCTTAACATTTATTTAGCAATTAATAACATTTTAATCAAAACTAAGGGTCTATTTGGGACAACTTTTTTTGTTATTTTTTATATATTACTCATAATTTTATTTGGATACTATTTCCTCATTATTTTCTTAGAAATTTTTGTGATGAAAATTAATTTTTACAACCAGAATAATTTAGTTAGTTTCCTCATAGCAACTTCAAAATCATTTTATAAAATATTACAGTTGTCACATACAAATCATAAGTGAACTAAATAAGCCTATCTAAGGGTCAATGTAGGGGCAAATTATTGCATCCGGTCACCTGACAGAGAGATCCGTCTCTCTCTGTCTACAGTAAAGCGCATGTAGGTGATCGGATGCAATAATTTGCCCAATGTAGGACATCCTTCTAACTGCTTTTCAAAAAATTTTGAGATTTTTTTTTTTGGGTAATTGGAGTATATAAATTAAATTTTTTATAGTAATTTCACAATTAATTTTATAAAATAAACATACTCTTATTCAATTCAAAATAATTATGTAAAAAATTTCAAATCATTTATGAAAAAAATTATTATATAAGTGGGAAGTGAATCTTTTTTATGCAATTATTCTTTTTTGCTTTTTAAGGTTTAAGATTTTGTTTTCGATGACTTTTTTGTTTCTTCTTAAAATAATTTTTTAGTAAAAAATTAATATTTTATGATAAAAATTATTTTAAAAAGTAATAAAAATCCGTCCCAAACAAAATCTAAGAAGAATTATCTATTAAAAGTTAAGATTTGTTAAAATGTCCAGAAAGTGATATCACTGGCAAATGCATTAACTTCAATAGAAAATATTTCACATTTATTTTCTTAATATTAAAATATCCGTTTCGTTTAAGAAAAAAAAAACAAAAAAATAAAATTTTAATGCAAAATCTTCATAATATACCTCAGAAAAATCCTTCGTAATTGATTTTTTTTTTTTGAAAATTTCATTTATGCGTAATAAATGTAAGGATAATGATTTAAGTGTATAGTATCTATTAATTTATTTTATTAAAATTTCATTAATGTCTATTTAATTTCATATCCGAAATATTTATAAAGTTTAGCGGTTCGGTCTGTTCAAATTGAAACTGAATTGCCATTTGCCAAACTTAAAATCAGGCGTTATTTTTTCGAAGCTGTTATGTCATAATTTTAAATCTATGAAATATATAAATGGGCTATTTTCCAAATACAAAAAATATTAATTTTGGATTATTTTTCATTTTTAAAAAATTATTAAAATGACTCATTATTTTATGATCATCATACTACAACAACAACAACATCAAGCCTTTGTCCCACTACATGGGGTCGGCTACATGAATTCTTTTTTGTCATTGTGTCCGGTTAAAAGTCAAATTCTCATTTAAATCTATTAAAAAAGACAATTTCTAATATTTTTTAACCAAGTCTTTTTTGGTCTACCTCTACCTTTCTTAACATAAGTCAAATCTAATACATCAACTTTCCTAACCGGATCATCGGAAGACCTCCGTTTAATCTGACCAAACCATCTAAGGCGACTCTCTCTAATCTTATCTTCCACTGGAGCTACTCCAACATTTTCATGTATATGCTTATTTTATATCCTATCTCTAAGGGTCTAGCAACTCATCCACCTAAACATCCTCATCTCTGCAACACTTAACTTAGTATTATGCTTCTCTTAACATTTATTTATCATTTATTAACATTTTAATCAAAACTAAGGGTCTATTTAGGACAATTTTTTTGTTATTTTTTATATATTAATCATAATTTTATTTGACTACTGTTTCCTCTTTATTTTCTTAGAAATTTTTGTGATGGAAATTAATTTTTACAACCATAATAATTAAGTTAATTTCCTCATAGTAACTTCAAAATCATTTTATAAAATATTACATTTGTCCCAGACAAATCATAAGTGAACTAAATAAGCTTATCTAAGGGTCAATGTAGGACATCCTTCTAACTGTTTTTCAAAAAAGTTTACGATGATTTTTTTTTGGGTAATTGGAGTATCTAAATTAATTATTTTATAGTAATTTCACAATCAATTTTATAAAATAAACATACTCTTATTCAATTCAAAATAATTATGTAAAAAATCTCAAATCATTTATGAAAAAAATTATTATATAAGTGGGAAGTGAATATTTTTTTATGCAATGATTCTTTTTTGCTTTTAAGGTTTAAGATATTATTTTGGACAATTTTTTTATTTCTTCTTAAAATAACTTTTTGATAAAAAAATAAAGTAATAAAAAATTCGTCCCAAACAAAATCAGAAGAATTATCTATTAAAAGTTAAGATTTGTTAAAATGTCTAGAAAGTGATATCACTGTCAAATGCATTAACTTCAATAGAAAATATTTCACATTTATTTTCTTAATATTAAAATATCGTTTAAGAAAAAAAAATTATATTAACAAAATTTTAATGCAAAATATTCATAATATACCTCAGAAAAACCCTTCATACAATTTTGTATAAATAAAATCCTTCTCCCAAGGCCCACACCATATCGGTAGCGGTCTTTCTCTCCAGCTCTTCGTCGCGTTCCTTCTTGGCTTCTTCTTCTTCTTTCTCTGTCTCTCTCTCAGGAAAGAACCGAAAGGTATTCTTGGTTTCGTCGAAGAAGGTTTCATTTTTTTTGACGAACAGCGCCTCCTCTTCTATTCTCCCAAATTTGTCTTTTTTTCACCTAATTCGATATTTTTAATCGCTTCCAATTCCCTTTTCATGGCCGGCAACTACTCCGTCCTCGCTCTCGCATGATATGATATTATGATCCAATTGGACTTAACTGCTTTTACCAATTCTTATCTTCTTGTCCTTGTTTCTTTCTCCTTCTTCTTCCTCTTCTCTTTCTCTCAATTCTTCTACCCGCCTGATCGACGCAGATCCCTTCCATTTCGCCCCGGATCCTACGTTCAATGAGTTAAATTTTCATTCTTCGGTGATTTCATTTCCAGTTTTTGCGCGTTTCGAATGTTCTCAATCCATTTCGCTTAGATCCCGAATCTTTCTCGAAACAATTCTGATTTTGCGTCTATCTATTACTCAAAAAGTCTCGCCTTTCTCTGCTTTCCACTGTTTTCCTCCAATGGGTTGTATGAGCTCGAGAGAAGCGACACTTGATCGCCGGCGCAGCCGGCTGTCGGATGGGCGGAGCCTTTCCATGCCCGTCGTCCATGGCTCTAGGCGCAAAGGGGACAGTCTCCACGTCGTTTCCCTCACGTTCTCCACTCTCGGCTCCATCAGACTCGATCCAAACCAAGATTCATCCTATCAGGAAATGATGAAGACCAATGATGACGATCAGAAATCCCACAAATCCATTGCCGCCTCCGCCGGCCATGTTGATCCACCGGAGCCAGAATCGGAGACGATCAACTCTTGGGAGCTCATGGAAGGCCTCGACGAGTACGATAGCCCTCTGCCTCTGCAGCCATCTCTTGCCGACCGATCCTTCTCCTTCGATCCCATGCGAGAATCGCCGGAACCTCCTCCGGCGAGGTCTAAATCATCAGTAAACTCCACCGCTGGCTCCCCACAACCATTCTGGATACAGACCGATCAATTCGATCCCGAAGTCATCTCCAACTTCCAAAAAGCTATGACAGAGCTATCCCCTCAACACCCAACTCTCCTCCGTCGCCTCTGTACGGTGAGGTACCGCCCCGAAGAAATCCCCAAATTTCCCGGAATCGTAAAAGCAAGGGTCGCCGCTTTCGAGGAGAAAATCGACGCGAGAAGAGGCAGTTTCAAGTCCACAGCCAGCTTAAAAATCACACTTTCGGAAAAGCCTCCGCCCGACGGAAAAGGAAAACTGGTTCTCTACTCCACAAGCCTCAGGGGAGTGAGGAAGACATACGAAGATTGCTGGAATGCCAAAGTGATTCTTGAAAGCTATGGAGTTCGAATAGACGAAAGAGATGTTTCTATGCATGGAGGATTCAGAGATGAATTGAACGAAATTCTTGGAGCTGGAACCAAACTTCCCAAGATTTTTTCTAACGGAAGATTTTTGGGAGGAGCAGAGGAGGTGGTGAAAATGCATGAGAATGGAGAATTGAGAGAAGCTCTGAAAGACTGTGAGATGGCGGCGTGTTTGAAAGGCAGCAATGGAGTGAATTGTGAGGGTTGTGGTGATTACAGGTTTCTGCCATGTAAGATCTGTTCGGGGAGCTGTAAGGTGTTTGTGGAGGAGGAAGAATATGACATTGGTGGGTTCAGAAGATGTGTGGATTGTAATGAGAATGGCTTAGTTCGATGCCCTCTTTGTTCTTGAGCTTGGATTCTAGCAGACTGTACAGTAAGAACTTCACGATTTGGAGCAAAATACAGAGTTTATTTTATTTTTATTCTCGATTAAGAATTTGCAGAAACATTCAAAATTGTTTCTGGTTTTCTCAGTTTTGCTATGATCTCTTCTTCCAAGCTGCCTCCTTTTCTTCTCTCCTAATTTGAATATTTATATTTATTTCCCAGAAATTTTCATTATGCAGCAATGCTTTTAGTTCTTACACACAGATTGAGCAATGGAGGTAATTTTTTAAAACTCCTAATCAGAAATATAACACGGGCTAACAAATTTCTAATTTGAATCGACCCAATACATTTTTGAAAAGTCATAAAGGAAGGAGATTAGTTACCTGTAACGTTTGAAATTTCAAAAGTAGCAGTTACATTTCGCTGTTCTTTTGAATATTTTGAAATTCAAGATCTCTGAAGATTCTGAAGTGAAAGACGTGTAAATATTTTTTGACAGGTTCAGCATATTAATGTTTAAATAATAAATGGCGGATCTAAGCATTAATAAGTTCTCTCAATTGGTGAGATATAATTGGAAAAACTTCTTAATTTATTACAAAACCATCAATGAGAAGCTATTAATCTTTCAAAAATATATTGGTACAAAAAACTAAAAAATTTTAATTTTTTATAAAATGCATAATTGTATCATGAAAATTACTTAAGAGATTTATGAAAGTTAGACATAGATTATCGTATTAAAAATTATCAGAAATAAATTCAACACATTTGAAAAATTACATAAGAGATTTAGGACTCTCATTCCCCACCCTTCAAACTTCAAAGGCAGGCTTCACATTCATCAGTGCATTGATCCGAAGCTGCTACTCATCAATGTGTTGCGAGAGAGCTTTGGCAATAAAGCCAGACCTACAAAGCCACCAACAAATGCAAGAGCTGCTGCGAGCCCGAAAGCTGGCACATTTCCCTTGCCAAATAGTGAATCCCAAGGACCAGCACTGAGTGCAATGATCACCTACAAGTTTAGTTTCACCATGTCATCACTCATGAACATGCTGCCAACATGCGTGCTAAGGTCTTATCCGACCGAACTCCAAACGCATGAATGATGTCGCTCGCGAGTTCTAGCAGAACGGCAAAACTTCCGGTATTTGGTTGCGGGTGAACAGTACGATGTCAATATTCGTGTTGCACTGTTCACCTTAGTTATTTTTTCTGTCTCTACTGGATTTGCCAAAGAAACGCATGAAGGAGAAAGACGGTTACCTGGGCGCAAAATGGAGTTCAATTGGAGATGAATCACACCATTTTCTTTGTTACATTGCATTTTGGAGTGGAGATTTTCGGTTGGAGATGCCCTATGAAAATCTCATTTTTTCACTCCAAAATGCCGTGGAACTAAAAAGTATCGTGATTTATCTCCAATCGAACTTCATTTTGCCCCCTTTTACAAAGATAACGGTCGCTCTCTTCTTTCGCAAGTTTCTTCGGCAATTTCGGTAGAGATAAAAAAATAGCGAAGATGAATAGTGCAACGCCAATATTGGTGTCCCACTATTCACCCACAACCAAATAGCAGAAGTTTTACCCTTCGGCTGGAGCTCGCGAGCGACGCCAAGCTTTTGGAGTTCGGTTGGAGATGCCCTAAGAAGCATACCTGAGGAACCACAATGGAGACATTCAGAACTCCTGTGCATAACCCTGCAATTTCATCATAATAGAAGCTCTCTTTCAGAATTAGAAACCTTAATGAGAAAAGAGTCGACAAATATGAGATGAAACCAATCAAACCTTGTTGAGTGCTTCCTTCGTTCGCAACAAGCTGTGCAGCAGTTGCAAAAGGAATGCTATATAGAATCTGCGGAAAGAAGTAAGAAATTATATGAAAATTACTTTTGTCAGGTAAATGAGATGGCATTAGAGGGTTAATACTAACAGCTAGAGGAAACCCAAGGGCTGTGAAAATGGCCAAAGCTCCAATTTTTATGCCATCAGGTCCCCTGACGGCGGTGCTGATGCTTCCTGTGAAGCTTTTATTAGAAATAGCACTTAGGACAGTGATGGCAACCATGGCGAGGAACAGAGTGAAGTTGCCGATGACCCACACGACTCTCGAAGAAAACTTTCGGCACATTGGCTCGAGCAACGTTGCAGTGATACCAAGAACAATCTTACAATGGGAAACAAAATGTATCAGATGATGTTAAGCCTCCATGGATTTCTCAAAGGATTTGAACAATTTGTTGTTGATTACCGAATTCAGCAGCAGCCCAAATGCACCTTGTTGAACTCCTTTATTAAAAGCTTCAATTTCTTCTTTTGTGCCATTAGGATCGCCATGGTAGATCTCACGGCCCATCCAGTCAGTGTCGTAGAGGATGAAAGGGAACCATGCCATCTGCAATTAATATTATTAATATCAGTTGAAAAACTCTCCATGATCAAAACAACTAAAAGAAAATGATTTAACATACCCATGTGAGAGATGTCATAAGAAGAACAGAGAGCATTCCAGAAGGCAAGTTCTTGAAAGCTTTGAAAACAAAAAAGAATCCAGAATTCTCCTTTGATGCCTCTGCATCCAACTCCGACAGCGGAACTTCTTTTGCAGATATGAGAGTAATTGCTAAACAAATTCCAAGGAATATCTGCAAATAGAAAAAGAAAACTCAACAGAAGCATTTCTCTATCATCTAGATCATGGAGTATTGAAAATCTTTGATTCCAACATCGTAAGCGAGAATTCTGAGACCTATCAAGCTTACCACTGCAATCAAGAAGGCACCCTTCAGATTCGCGCATGCTTCACAACAAGAATTTGTCATCAAGAATGGGAACCACCTGAAAGAGGATAAAAAGAAAAACTTTGAATCTGTTAATTGAATCTTGTTATGGACACACTTGTTTAAACAAGAAGAAATATGAAGCATACTTGTGCCAACTTCCACTGGCACCAGAAGCATAACCGAGGATGTTTCCAAAAGCCATCCAAAATGCATAGATTATATTTCCTGTGCTGCATCCATGGCTGCCTATCATAGGAAAAGCTTATCAGATCACATGAAAATGGTAGTCAACTGAGGCATCAAGAAGTGAAGAACTAAATTACCAGAGAGATCAGCCATCATCGCTCGAGCTGGACCCTGTAATTAGGAATCCAAATAGAAGGAAATATCATTCTTAGTGTGCAAAGAAAAATAAATAAGAAAGAAAGAGAAAGAAAGCATTGAGCAACTTACTTGAACAGCATTGTTAGAGAAATCCAGCACCCAAAATCCAACCACATAAATAAGAGCTGCTTTCCATCGAGGACCAACATAGGTGCTGTACTCATCATCCAAATTATCAATTTTCAGTCATACATAATCACATATTTATAGAACAATTAAGGTCTATTTAGGAGCACTTCTATTTTTTTTTAATTTTAAAAATATACCTGTTTATCATAATTTTTCACTATTTTATTTCTTATTTTTAAAAATAAATCAAGTTTAATATGTCATAACAAATCTTTTTGATCAGACAATGTCTCAATATATATTTGAATTGAAAATGTTTAAAATTAAATTTATGAGCATCCAAACTTTGATTTCAACAACTTATAGTTGAACTGAATGTCTCGACAAGGTGAAACCAACGACACGAAAAGTAGTTCAATCGGAGTCCAAATGAGTCTTTTAAGCACTTGAATCACAAATGAAAACTTTAAGATATTAATTAGAGAATATATGATCTCCAAATCTTGCATGCTTATATTCGAATCAAGCGTGATGAGACAAAAATTCAACGAGCTCAAGTTTGTTTAATTCTGACATTATTAAGACACTTAAAAGCTAAAGAAACACTTATGATCATGAGAATTAATAAAGGTTATCCGTTGGCGTATGCCAGAATGTTTTCTATATTAATGGGGTATGCACCCCACGTTGGGGGAAAAATGCTTGATGTTGTTGTTGTTGTTGTAATGGGGCATGCAACACCAATAAAATTTATAAATAGGCCTCCAATTTTTATATCAAAGGGGACTTGTAGCTTAGACTTTGCATTGGAATTCAAGAGAGCATAGAGACTACAAGAATCTAAGAGCTCCACTCGAGCACCACTGCATGACCGCCACAACCCAAACATTGGCTGATCGTTGTTATCAGATCAAACCTTGATCGACGCATTAAGATCATACATGATTGACATTTCCACACAACCTCCAAATTGCTAGCAGTAAACCACCACCTTCCAAAACACCATCCGATCTTCACCAATGGACAACTGCCCAACCACCGTTGTTGAACCACCATTCGACTGTCACTATGGAACACTGTCAAACCACTACCATCGGAACATTGTCATACCACCATCATCACATAATAATCTCCAACCACGGTTCTCTGACCATCATTTCCTGATTATAATCCTTTGACCATCTTCACCTGACTACAATCCTTTGACCACCATTGTCTGATTACATCCCTTGATCAACCTTTTTTGCCAGATTAAGGCCCCTTGACATCCATCACCACACTATAGTCCTTTGACCATTTGAATACAACCATTCGTCCATTATCGCTCAATCATGGTCCTCCAACTGATCAATTGCTTAACTGTAATCATCCAACCATCATCGCAAGACTAAATTCATCCAAACACTATCGTCGAACAATGGTCCTCCAACCACCTTCTCTCGACTACGGTTCTCCAACCACCTTTGCCTAATTACTCTTTCGATCATCATTGTCTGACTATGGTTCCTTGATCTCATTCACCCTACTACGCCTTGCCAACCTTCATCATTTGGCTATGGTACCCTAACCATAATCTCCCAACTATAATCCTTCGAACATCATCACCCAACTACTATCCTTTGAACTCCGTCATTGAACTATGGTCCTATGACCTTTTTATGACCATTGTCTGACTATGGGCCTCCGATCACCATAACCTGAATACAATCCTTCAACCACCATTGTCAGATTATGATTTTCTAACCTTCATTGCCTAATTACAACCCCCAACCTCCATCACCTAACCATAATTGTTTGACCATGCACCGTCATCTAACTATGGTCCTCCCACTGCAATCTCCTAGCTAAGATCCTTTGACCTCCATTGCCTAATTATGATCCTCTAAGTTTTTATATATCACCATCGCCCAACGTCGGTGTTGGGATTTATGCTAGACTTCTTGGTCTCTGGTCTTCTCTTCTCAAAAGAGTATGACTAAAGAATCCAACAATCAATATCTTAAAGATGACACTCATGCCACAAGACTCTCCCAACTTCAATGGCATAATATGTTATATACATTGTATATTTACTTCATTGAATCAATGCATTTTCTTGTGGAAGGGTATCTTTTGTAATTGATGAAAAACACGAGTGAAACCATTTTATTTGCATAATCACATATTCATAGAATAATTAGGGACTATTTTGGGTCACTTCTATTTTTTTATTTAAAAAATGTACTTGTTTATCATAATTTTTCACTATTTTATTTCTTATTTTTAAAAATAAATCAAGTTTAATATGTCATAAAAAATCGTGTTGATTAGAAGAAATCTAGATATGTATTTGAATTGAAAATTTTTAAAATTAAATTCATCAGCATCCAAACTCTGATTTCAACAGCTTATAGTTTGAACTAAACGTCTCGACAAGGTGAACCCAACGATACCAAAAGTACTTCAATCGGAGTCCAAATGAGCCTTTTGATCTCCAATTTCTTGCATGCTTATATTCGAATCAAGCGTCTTGACGAGACAAATTCAACGAGCTCAAGATTGTTTTATTCTAACATTATTAAGGTACTTAAAAGCTAAAGAAACACTTATGATTACGATAATCAATAAATGTTGTATGTTGGTGTATGGCATATTTTTTCTATATTAATGGGGTATGAAAAACTATTTTTTTTTTAAATAGCCTCCAATTTTTATATCAAAGGGGACTTTGTAGCTTAGACTTTGCATTGGAATTCAAGAGAGCTTAGATACTACAAGAATCTAAGAGCTCCACCAGAGTACCACTGCTTAACCACCACTGCCCAAATATTGGCTGATCATTGTTATTAGATCAACCCTTGACCGACACATTACGACCATACATAATCGACATCATCACATAACCTCCAAATTGGTGGCATTAAACCTCCACCTTCCAAAATACCATTCGATCTTCACCAATGGATAACTGCCCAATCACCGTTGTTGAACCACCATTTGATCGTCTGTCTCTATGAGAACACTATCAGACCCAATGCCATCAGAACACTGTCATACCACCATCATCACACAATAATCTCCAACCATGATCATCTGACCATCATTTCCTAACTATAATCATTTGACCATCTTCACCCAACTACGATCCTCTAACCACTATTGTCTGACTTTGGTCACTTGACCTTTATTGCCATATTATGGCCCCTTGACCTAATTCACCACATTGCAGTCCCTCGACCATCTAAATACAATTATTTTGTCTATCATCGCTCAACCATGGTCCTTCAACTCAATTTCCTAACTGTGATAATTCAACCACCATCGTCAGACTTAAGTCATCCAATCGCTAACGCCCAACTATAGTTCTTCAACCACCATCTCTCGACTATGGTCCTCCAACCACCTTTACTAAACTACAATCTTACAACCATCATTTCCTGACTATGGTCCCTTGATCTCATTCACTCGACTATGCCTTGCCAACCTTCATCATCCGGCTTTGGTACCTTAATCATAATCGCCTAACTATAATCCTTAGAACATCATCACCCAACTACTATCCTTTGAACTCCATCGTTGAACTATGATCCTCTGACCTTTGACCACTATCGCCTTACCATAGGCCTCTCACCACCATAACCTGAATATGATCCTCTGACCAACGTTGTCGGATTATAATTCTTTGACCTTCATTGCCAAAATATGACCCCTCAACCTTCATCACCCAACCATTATTATCCAACTATGATCATCCTACTATAATCACCTGTAATATCAAAATCTGCTGATTTTTGTACGGTCATGGCTTTTCTTCTGTATTTCTTCTGTTAGCCATGTACCGTATTTGTAGATGATTGTTTTGAGGAAAAGAAAGAAAAATATAGATGTTTTATTCCGCTGCAATTGACGATTCATAGTAGCTCTGGTCTGTGTCTGTGTGTTGGTTTTTGAGTTGAAATAATTTGGAAGATTCAGTTCAGTAAGCAAATTCCAAAGCCATATCCTGGATATAAGGTTCGGTCGCGGCCCGGTGCGAGCGGGATTCATTCCGTCTCGGGTCGGGTCGTGACATCACCTGACTAAGATCCTTTGACCTCCATTGCCAATTATGATCTTCTAATCTTTGATCACCATCACCCAATTATAGTATTTTGTTACTATCGTCTAACTACAATCCTTCAACCTCTGCAATCCAACTATAGTCCTCTGACCACCGTCACTCAACTACTGTTGCTTAACTATGGTCATTTGACCACATATCTCCTAATTATTATCCTCCAATTATAATCACCCAACTATAGCCCTTAGACCATATTCAATCGAGTACAATCCTTTGACAATCTTCGTTTCACTACAATCCTCTGATCTCCACCATCTAAATATGATTCCCTGACCTCCATTGTCTAATTATAATCCTCTAACCACTATTGTCAGAGTACGATCCTCTTACCACACTTGCCCAACTATTGTTATATGATCTCTATTACTCGACTATGATCCTTCGACCTCAAAGCAAGATCCCCTGATTATAATCCTCAGCTAATCATCATCCAAGTACAGTCCTTGCTCCGACCACCATCATCTAACTTCCCTTCGTCGCCTAACCACGTCCCTAACCTCTTTTTTTTTTTTTAAATTACAACTATATTATGACTAAGGTCCTACAACTATCGTCACCCAATTACGATCCTCCAATCTATGACCAGCAACACCTGACTGTGATCCTCAAACCATTGCCGCCCAATTAAAACTCTCTGACCTCTGTTGTCTGATTATGATCCTCAAATCTTCGACCTTAGTTGTTGTACTATATTCGGCTTATTACAGTCTCCCGACTATAGTCCTTCTCCATCTATTCCTCAATTACATCCCTATGATTATCACTATTTGATTACAATCTTCTGACCACTATTGTCTAACAAAGCTCCTCCAATCATTGTTACTTAAATAAACTCTTTAGATTATTGCAGGCCAACTGCAGTCCTTTGATCATCGTCATCTGATTATGGTGCTCTGACATCCATCATCTTACTTCGAACGACCCTTCAACCTCCTTGGCAAAATTATGACCCTCTATCATATGATTTTCTAACCGTATCACCTAAATACATCAACACCCACTAACTTTATCACCTACCATCTTGAATAATGTCAACAAATGTCATCATTTACTATATTGATGCGTGCGATCCACACTAACTCTGACTCTCAATGCCAATATTGAGATTTATACTGGACTTCCTAGTCTCTAGCCTTCTCTTCTCAAAAGAGTATGATTAAGGAATCCAACAATCAATCCCTTAAAGATAACACTCATGTCATAAGACTCTCCCAACTTCAATAGCATAATATGTTATATAAATTGTATATTTACTTCATTGAATCAATGCATTTTCTTGTGGAGGGGTATCTTTTGTATAATTGATGATAAGCACTATTGAAACCATTTTATTTGGGTCTTTCCCAAGATTTTTTTTCCCATTCTTGAATTTTTTCACGTAAAAATTTTGATATATCTTGCGACTCTTAAATCTGTGTGTGTGTGTTGAATTTTCGTACTAGTGCTAAGATGTTATTTTTAAAATATGACAAATATTTTATTTCATGTAATTAAAAAAAAAAATCAAAAGTGAATAACAAAATAGAAATGACCTTTAATATATACCTGCAATTTTCCATTGTGTCACCAAGTGCAGAGCCAATGTCAGACGAGAAACCAATAACCATTACCTAAACAAATAAATATCAAATTTATATGTTACCTTCAATAAGGCAAAATAAATAGAATGAAGAGAAAGAAAACAGACTCTCACTTACAGCACAACATATAATAAAGCATCCAGCAAGAATGAATGGCTTTCTCCTTCCAAATCTTGAACCACATCTGTCGCTCCACATACCAATTGTAGGTCCAACCTATCCTCATGAAATAAAATAATATATATAAATGAGCTTAATGAGCAGGTGACTGTACGTCCATTGTAAGAAAACAGAAGGAAATCTTATCAATCCGAGCACTCACAACAAAACCTGCTATGGGGCCACAAAGCCACATGATAGAAGCCAGAGAATGAGGAAGCCCAAGTGTCTGCATCGATTAATCAGATTACATACAAGACAGAAAAGATTGCTTTGCAATATATAAAAAAGCCAATTTTTTTCTTCTCCTAGCTAGTTTTCTTGAAAGTACATGCAACATGCAGGTCAAAATTCCATCTTTGATCACAAATGCGTTGTTTTGTTCAAATGAAGGAACGAAGAAGGAAAAAGATGAGATCTTTACCTGTACATAAGGTGTAAGGAGAGAGAGCTGAAGCGCCCAGCCATATTGCACTCCTCCGGCGACCATACAAGAAAGGATAAGTCGCACTAAGCTTATTTCCGGATCCTGCACTCCATTTTCTGACACCATTTTTGTACTCGTTACGATTCGCTCTTTATTTTATATTCCGATAGCCAAGTAACGTCGCCGGACACAAAGGTGATGGCGTTGCCCGGAGCTCTGGTTTGTTCTCCTTTTATAGCCTTCGCTCTGGCTCCCCACCGGTCTGTTGTGGCCGAGGTTGCGCATATTTGTGATAGGGGTCAAGGGAAAATGAGAGGGAAGAGGGGTACCACGTAGGTGGAGTAGGTTAAGATCAGGGAAGTAGAGATTTATTTGCGCTCATTTTTGTGGAGGAGAAGGGACTGCGGTCACCTTACGGTTGAGTTACCGCTGACGCCAACCGCCAACGTGTGCATTTAAGCATAAAATAATAATTAAATTTCCGTAAATATATTTTTATTGGTATCATTTATCTGTTAATTCGATTAAAATGGCCCACTCAAATAGGTTGGTTTGATGGATTCTTATGGGCTTTAATGGCTAAATTGCGGCCCATTCCAAGCAAACCCAGTCCAAAAGCAACTCAATTATGCCTTGTATTTTATAAGGTTGCCCCATTAGCTAAAGTTTATTTTGTTGTCTTTATTGTCTGATTGGGTGACTCAATTTGCACCTCAAATTATTTATATTTAATCATTGAAATATTTATTAAAATAAAATATGAAAAATAGTTAAAATTTAGAGAGATAAATTACAAATACATAAATGCCACAATCTTAAAATCATCATAAAAAATATTGTTAACTCATATAAATATTTTATCAATTTATTATTAGTGCAATCAGAAATAAAATGTACAAAAATTTATTTATTTTCTTAGTCAAAATTTTTGTAATTTAACCCTAAAGATTTAGCAAAAAGCTCCCTATATTCCTTAAAATGACATGGCATTGATTTTTCAATTTTACATTTCTCATTTTCTTTTGCCTAGATTCTGATAGATAGTCAATTACTAAAAAAAGCAAGCAATTGTGTTAGGATATTAACTTAGATCAGATAAAAAATATTAAAAATTTGTTTAGTTGTGATACGGATAAGGATGAGGATATTGTGTTCATCATCATTACCACTTTGATTGATGTATAAGCTTTGTTTTATAACTTTTATCAGTTGAATATTATCGATTAATAAAATATTGCTCAACTTAGTGTTTGTATTTTTGTGTGAATTTCAGTGTTCAACTTAAATATTTTTTGGCAAGAAAAAAAAAAGTTTTTAATTATAATTTTTTTGTGATTAAGTAAATCTTGAATAGATAAATATAATCCGGACACAACTCCAGTCCGGACTCCACACTTAATAATCTCTCCAATTATAGATAGTTGCTTCATCTTTTACGTACCTTAATAATCTCCAAATTAAGCAATTTTTGGCTTGTTTGATTTGTCTTATCAAGGATTTTTGTTTTAATATTATCATTGAATTAGAGATTTATTGGGTAGGTGATGTTCTGAGTTGGGAGAATAGTTAGGATTATTTTAATTCTAAGATTTTTAATCTTCTATTTAAGATTTGTTGGGATATTGCTGACTCCCTTCTCCCTCATTTAAGATTTGTTTTATAAATTTCTGATTATTTTTTTTATTTTATGTGATAATTAAATCATAATTTTTAAAAGGAGTTTGCATCTCTGATAAGAAAATATCCCAAAGTTGTTATGAAATAAAGTTAAAGATAATAATTTGATTAGAGAGCCACAAAAGGTTAAAAAAATCATAATCCTCATTAATATTTTAAATTTATTCTCCATTAATTATAGAGGCTGTGAAATCAAATGCTCAGGTAAAAATTGTCTTCTTTCTTTTGTTTTTCAGTCTGCGTTTGCTAATTACAAGTTGCAACTCCTCTACTGATCTATCTCATTTCATTTGTCCGTACTCTCAATGAATTCTTTGCCTTTTTCGTTGGCATTTTGTTCTCTCAACTTAATAAGATTTAGGCATTGAAAAGTTATTATTCTTTATGACTTCCTCTTGAGTTGAACCAATCAAAACTGAAATTTTAAATTATCATTAGTATAATTCTATTTAATGTAAGAACAAGAGCAGCTTTGATAACTAAGATAAAGTTCCCTCAAAAGAAGACAATTTGTAGCATCTTTTTAGGATCATGAAGGCACTTTAATGTTGAATGTTCAAAGAAGTTAATATGGGCCGTTCAATGAAGTTTCAGAAAACGTTGCTCCGAAAATACTATAAAGTCTATTCTTCACATTTTGAGGACTTAGATTTGAGATTGGAAAGAGCTTAAAGATCTAAAGAATTCTAAATCTCTATCAAACATTCGAAATCAAAGTTCATTGCAAAGCCAAGTGCTATAAGAACAAGAAACTATACCAAAAAAATAAGATTAAGACAGAGTAGAGGCTCATATAGTATAACTACAAAATATGAATTATATGCATATGAATATGTGTGCAAAAATTATAATAGCCCAATCATTCGGCTACCAACGTACAAATATAACACTACGGGCTTTCGGCCCAAGCCCAATGGAGATACACAACATGACCAGCTTTCGGCCCAAGCCCAATGTAATGCACTCAGCTGCTCTTTTTCTTTTTCGTTTTTATCAGGTTACTGAAATAAATTTTAAAAGTAGCCATTTTTAAAATTTTAAAATGGAGCAAATAAATTTTATAATAAAAATTGAAGAGCGTTCATATCAGAAATTAAATGCTGCCGTTTTACTGAATTCAAAATCATCTATTTTAAATTTTATATTTATCGTGATAATATTCTAATATTTTGTTCGAATAAAATAATTTAATTTACTAGTTTTTATATCGCATCTAAATCACGTGATCTGAAACAACTCAGCCTACTTACTAAAAACAAATTTGCTACAATAACCTTCTACTAAACACTTTCTTTTTCAACCTTACTTTATTGACAAACAAAAGGTACGTATATGAACACAGTGTAAGAAAAATGATATATTTTTTTTAAATTTTCCTCCACACATTACCAAATATTTTCAAGCATCACACTCTATAGTGTTCACATTTATTAATTTTTGTACTGTTTAAGAAATAGTAAGAAAATCTTCCCAAAAGAAATTATAATCTCAAAACAAAGACTTTGAGAACCTAAAATAAGTATGGAGACGAATCATTATACTTACTTCAAGCTATGGAGAAATTATTCTGTACGGACGCTAGACATAGCTTCACGTCCGAAGGCGAATCTGGTGTAGCCACATCAGCGGTATCGAGCCGCGGTACTGAGCCGTGGCATCGAGTAAAGGGGCGGCATGACTCATTCTGGTTGGTCTCTGGATGGCATTCGGCGTCAGCATAGAATAATTTTTTAAATTTTCCTCCACACATTACCAAATATTTTCAAACATCACACCCTATAATGTTCACATTTATTAAACTTTCATGTAATTTTACTTTAAGAAACCGTAAGAAAATCTTCTTAAAAGAAATCATAATATCAAAACAAAGAATTTGAGCCTAAAATAAGTATGTAGACTAATCTTTATCAGGGGTGTCAATTTTTGACACGACCCTAAACACGACCCAGAAAAAATCCGGATTCGGATCAACCCGTTTTAAAAAATGGGCCGGGTTCCTGATTCGACACGAACTCGAGCCGCTGACCCAAATTGACACCCCTAATCTTTATACTAACTTCAAGCTTGGAAAAAATTATTCTATGCAGACGCCTGACGTAGCTCTACGTCCGGAGGCGAATGAGGTGCAGCCACATTAGCGGTATCGAGCTGCGGTACCGAGCCGTGGCACTGAACAAAGGGGCGAGGTGGCTCATTCTGGTTGGTCTCTACATGGTGTTCGGCATTAGCACAGAAGAATTTTTTCAAGCTAGGGGTGTAAGTGAGTTAAGCTACCTCATGAGCTCGACTCGATAAATGAGTTGTGAGCCAGCCCCGATTTGACTTATTAGCTTGCAACCTGGCTCATTTAAAATACATGAATATAAACTACACTTTCTTATATAAGTGATTTTTTATCATTTTTCTTCTGATTTCATATATTTTTTTTATCATTTTCCTATAATGATTGCTTGAAACGAAAACATTCTCTCTTTCGAAATAAACAATTAGGCTCGAACTCGATTAATTAAACAAGCTCAAGCTCGACTCACTCCTTATCTTTTGAGATTACCCGAATAAATTTAAATCTAAGACTGAAAGCTTTAATTAGTATTATTATATTAATTTCCTATCAATGACAAAAAAAAATTTTCTTAAAATGCTGAGATCACAAAGTTTAATTATTTGTGGAATCTTCTTTAAAAAAAAAAAAAAAAACAGCTCATAAGAGGTAATTGAGGGAACATATAATTAATTTAATAATTTTCCAAAGCGTCTAAAATAAAATTGTCTTTTATATTCCATAGAAAGCCCGACTTAAATATCATAAATAAATACAATAAAAATAGCATTTCCGCTATTTTATAGTTTTGGGAAACGCCTTTGGATATTAAATTAAAACGAATAAATAGAGAAAATTTCGTTGCAATTAATAAAATTGCAGTATTTATGAAAAAGATTTTCGGTTGGGAATAAATGTTTATTTTTTTTTTGGTTCTTTGACATTTCTATGTATCTCTACAAAAATGAATTTCTTAACAAAGGAAAAAAATGGTATGCTATACCGAAGTGGGCCCCAGTTTGAAATATACAAAGAATTTTATATCGTTGATAGAAATGTTCTAATAAAAATATGAATAGAAAATTAGAAATGGTGTCATCCAAAGGTGAATTGGGAGATTAAAAAATGAAAATTAAAGGGGAAGGGATGAGGATGGAGTGATTAAATGGGACTCGTAATCCATGCCTGAAGCAAGATTTTTGGAGAAGAATCCCATGGGAGAAGGGGGTATGGATAAAGAGTTCAGAGTTCACAGAGAGAGTTAGGGGGAGATTAGAACAGATTAAAGAGTGATAATAGAAATAAGCCGAGGAATTCTGTTCGCTACCAGTGATTTCCTGCTTGTAAGTTCCTGTTTGTCTCTTGTTTATACTTGATCTTCTTTTCCGATCGAAGAACGGCGAAAGTAGAGCAGGAAAAATTCAATTTTGTGAAGTTTTGGGGGATTTTTTAGGTTAATCGGTAGGTGTTTAGAAAGGTTTATAACTATGTTGTTGGATCGGCATGCGGCTATGCGGGTGAGGAAGGGTTGCTTTGTCGATGGGTCGCTGGTAGATTCGCTTCGTTTCTAAGAAATCGTAAGATCTGCATCCTTCAAATCTATGTTAAGCTTTTCGGCCCTTCTTCCTTTTTTTTTTCCTGTTCGGCTTGCTAGAAATAACTCGGTCAGTAATCATTCGATGTTTTGCTCTGCGAAAGATTTTATTTTTCTGTTAAGTTCTTCTCCGTTGCTTGTAAATTCTGTTGATCCATGTATTTTATATTAAAGAAGGGCTTCTCTGTCGATTCTTGTTTGATTTCTTTCGTCTTTTTTTTTTAATGTTGCAGTTCTTTTCTTTCCATTCTAAAATAACTATTCTCTTGGTCAATCTAGGTCAATCTATGAACATATTTTGAAAGAGGAAACCAGAGTTTTGATTTTGAGATTGGGTAAGAAAAACAAAATCTTCCTGAGGCCACAGGCTCCTTCAAGATGTTGGAAGGCAGGGCTTGCTTGATCTCAAGGGCGTTGCCGAGCTCATGCGAACAAGAATCCAAGTGGGCATATATGACCCACCACCTTCTTGAGAGAACCTGCAACAAAAGACCCCTAGATGTTTCATCTGGAGATCAAGGAGATTTTTTGGACAAGGATATGGAAATAAGAACCAAATCCATCAAGTTAACAGAATCCACCACCTCCAAATCTGACTCCTCAGACTCCAATAACCTAATCAGTTCAATTGGGCGAGACAATTCGATTAGCTGCCTCCTTCGATGCTCGCCCTCTGACTATGGCTCATTGGCCTCTGTCAATCGCGGATTCCGCTCTTTGATTAGAAGTGGAGAGCTATATCGTCTTCGAAGGATGCATGGAATTGCTGAGCCATGGGTATACTTCTCTTGCACCGTTGAAGAATGGGAGGCGTATGATCCTTACCGAGCTCGGTGGATTAATTTACCTAAGATGCCTCATAATGAATGTTTTATGAGCTCAGATAAAGAGTCTCTTGCTGTGGGCACTGAGCTTCTTGTCTTTGGGAAGGTTGTTTATTCCCACATTGTACTGAGATATAGTATTCTCACAAATTCATGGTCTCCTGGAGTTGTGATGAATTTACCTCGATGCTTGTTTGGTTCTGCAAGCTTTGGAGAGAAGGCTATTTTTGCAGGAGGTTGTGATGCTCGTGGAGCTATTTTAAACTCTGCAGAGCTGTATAGTTCAGATACAAAAACTTGGACAACACTGCCAAGTATGAACAGGCCGCGGAAGATGTGCTCGGGTGTTTTTATGGATGGAAAGTTCTATGTCATTGGAGGTATGGCTAGTCATACTGAGTTGCTTACATGTGGAGAGGAGTTTGATATAGAGAAAGGAACATGGAGGATCATTCCTAATATGTCGTTAGGTCTCAATGGCGCGAGCGGGGCGCCTCCGCTTGTTGCGGTTGTCAATAATGAGCTATATGCTGCTCATTATGGAGATGAAGAAGTGAGGAAATATGATAAGAAAAACAATGTATGGATCACTTTGGGGAGACTGCCTGAAAGGCCTGCATCAATGAATGGATGGGGACTTGCATTCAGGGCATGTGGGGAACAACTCATTGTAATAGGTGGACCGAGGGCATTGGGTGGCGGGGTGATTGAGCTTCATTCATGGGTTCCTAAAGATGGGGAGCCGCCTGAATGGAAGATGATCGCAAGGAAGCAATCGGGGAGCTTTGTCTATAACTGTGCAGTGATGATCTGCTGATTTATTGAATTCTTTCTACAGATGCGCGAAACATATAAAGCAAGATTGTTATGCTCAGGACATTGGATAATGGACACTGATTCTTCTTAATGGGTAATCTCTGCCTATTTTGGAAATCAAGATTTAGAAGAACTCTTTCCTCAGTGTAGCTTTTCAACTTCATTTTTTTTTTTTTTTTTACTTCTTCATCTCCATTGGTAATTTGTGCTCAAAGAAATTATTCTGCCCCAGTTTCTTTTAGGATAGAGGATTTTGGAGGTCTTGGGATTATGCAATGCAGTGGCAGATTAATAATTCAATGCAGTTGCTAGTTTCCTTTGACCATTGAGTTTCCGTTGAAATTTGCTATCTTTTAAGAGTTATCTTATTTTTATCGAATGTCCATGTTGAGGAAAATTTAGAGGGCTCTTTATTTGGTTTCTATGTTTTGTTTCGCTAATGAACATTGTCATGATTTTGTTAAAGGTGGGCTTGTTTATATATTCTTTTCCCATTGATTCAAAATCTAATTATCCTACCTTTTAACCATTTATTTAGTTGATGTTCATTTCTTTTTTTGGCTTTTATGCTTCTCAGAAAATCTACTGTGTATACTTTTTTTTGATTTAGAATCTTGTTGTCTTGGACTTATTTGTATATGCTGAGACTGTGGAAGATATTTTGAGTTCTAAAGATGCTTCTCCTAATTGAAATTTTGGCCCATAGATCATTAAAGCTAAGATAAATAGTCTTATTGGATTTATTAAAACTAATTTTTTTTTAATCGTTATTTTTGGTTAGATCACTAGTTAATTTTATAGAACTGTAATATTTATTTCTAAATGAGTTTCCACTTTTTAGATTTATGTTCCTCTTGAATTGGAAATTTGTATGGTACTGAAGTTCCTTCTCATGGAAAGGAGAAATTTTGAGTCAGTATATTCTGAACTAAATTTGATCAGGATGAGTTGTTTATTTATTTTATTTGTTTTGAGATTAGTATTATATAAAAATTGTTTGATTTGTCAGGTATTATACTTATCTCAAGGAAGTTGTAGCTGCTATCATACAATGTATTTGTCTAGATGAAATTAGGCATGAATGATCACAATTTATTCTTTATTACCCTGCCCTTAACATTCGATGATACAAATCTAAACTCCTAGATTTGCAATGTGATCAATTAAATTAATTCTAATTCATTGTATTTCTTGTTTCCATGGTAGATTTGCATGATATTGCTCTTTTCTCGAGACATTGTTTTTTGTGCTTCTTTTGGGGGTGATGGATGGGGTTGTAGCACAGCCAACCTGTTTGCCTTATAATAACCACCCAAATACTTTGGCCAGAGGTGCACTAACCAGCTAAAGTCCAGTTTGTAGAGGTTAAACTGTGAAAGAAGGCTGGTTTTACCTTCTTCCCACATCTCTCTCTCTCTCTCTCTTCCCCATACCCACCCATTCTTAGTTCTTTGAATAAAAAATGTATTATTTGCTGATCTAAATCTGGTTGATTTTTGTCATTACTTTGCTGAAACTGCGAAGTGAATTAAATTTTTTTTGGTGATGCTGCTGTTTCAGCACACTGTACAGCTGGGCTAGCACAGTGGCTTCTACATGCTAACTGTGGCAAAAGTTAAATCCTCAATGCTTATTCATCACTATGTTAAACTGAAAAAATAATAGAAAAAGACAAGAAAGTCGCCTAAATTAGCATTATGATGTCAGTAGTAGTTCAAAAAAGAATTGATGAACTACATTACACACTTGAATGTCATAACTATACATAAAGTTATTCTAAAATGAAAAGGAATTAAAAACTGGACAAGTAGCAACTACTGGTTGCATCTGGAAGTGGGATAGAGCTCTAATACTTTCATTTTCCTAGACTTATCTGCATATTGCAAGTGGATCCTTGTTTAATTCGATTGTTTTGTATAGTATCATAAGGCTTAAGTCCTTGTTTTATATAGCTTGATATAAGACCAAGATTCAACAGGGGATTAGAAATCATCTTGCTGTTTATAACTATATTATTATATTTTCTTTCTCTTTGATCCAAAGATTAGTCAACTAACATTATTAAATATTATGTTTGTAGCACAAGCACTATACTTGTATCTGTTCATGGCATGTTTTTTTGAAAATTTTGCCATTGCTGATTGAATGTTAGGGCTTCAAAAAGATGATTCTCTTGAATCAATTAAAGACAAAGTGTGAAAACGACAAGGCAAAACGTGTTGGAGAAATGGCCATATACACTATACTCAAGTTGTGCTTTTTTATGCTATTCATCCTGGATATGTGTTGATTCTCTCTTAAATTATTTGATTTGTTAATTGTTTTCTCTCGGCGTTTAGTAAGCTAGTGGAATAATGGTGTAGTGTACCATATACTGGTGTGTTTAACTCAATACTATTCTATTCTATATGAGTCTTTTCTTTGACACTGTTGTCCTGGATCTGGATTTTTATTTGTTTATGCTTTGACTACTGTTGAAATAAATTTAAATGGCAGCTACTCGGTAAGTTTATGCTTTGGTACCTACCATTTTAATTGTTTTTATCAAATCCCTATAATTTAAAATAGTTGCAATCACATTCATAAATTAAATGGGATAAATTACATTACAAAAGATATCAGATTCTATCCAAATGAAATGTCAAACTGTTGACTTATTAGCTGGAGATTCATTCTCCAAAATACCATTTCCTTCATTCGATTTTTTATTTCATGTCTTCTTCAGCGAAGCCAAGTTTCAAATTAGATGGAAAGTGAAGAACGAGTGTCATCAAAGCAATCAAATGCAAATCGAAGTATCAATATTTGCCTTTTAAGTTGAGTGGTGGGTCACATAAGATGTTTAGTATTCATTTGGATGGAATTTGGCTTCTTTTGTTTTGTTATTTGTGTTTTGGATTAGATTTCAACAATTTTAATTAAGCTTGATTTGATTGAAACAATTGAAACTGTATGGATGAAAATGAAACTAGAGCCAAACTACAAGGACTAAAAAGTAAGGTTTTGTTTGGGACGGTTTTCTTATTGTTTCTTAAAACAGATTTCTAGTACAAAAATAAACTTTTTTTTAACTAAAAAGTTACTTTATGCAAACAGTAAGAAAGCCGTCCCAAACATATTCTAAGTCTTAATTTCTTATATTTGATAACATTACTATTTAGATAACAATGTTATCTTTCAAAATGCTGTGTTTGGTCGTATATTATCTTCCTTAATAGTGTTTAATGTTATCTAAAAAGATCAAATATGATTTTGATTTTCTTCGGTATAGGATCTGACATCTAGTTGATGTCAAATTTTGATGTTCTAATAATATGAAACGGATATAATTTATGAAAATTTTTATGTAAAAATATCAGTAAATAAAACAGTTTTAAATAAATAATAATATGATATTAACCAAACAATTCGTTTGAATCATCTGCTTCTGCTATTTGGTTTCTGTACATGTAGTGTTGTTTCAGTGACTTTCTCATGAATAAGAATTTTTTCTATTTTAGATTGCTGATTCTTCTAAAGTTCTAAAAACTACATATTCAGAATATTCTGATAGTGAAGTTGGTAGGATTTGTTCTTCTCAATTAGATGGTAAGCTATTACAGTGTTTCTGCATGCCCTACAAACGCTCTTAGAAGCAGGTGAAAGGATGTGATTAGATATAGAGACTGGAAAGCCACTGAACTGTGTTATCATGTAAAGTCTAGTCATATGCTCCTTTTCATATATTGGAATAATGGATGAAAAGACTCAAAAAAGCATTCCTCAACTTCAACCATTAAGCTTGATTTTTACTAATAATATACAAGATTTTTATTTTTATTATCATATTAATAAAAATCGAAGATAGAGAGGTTTCAAAGAAAATGATGTGCGAAAAAAATAGTAGAGTTTATTGATATTTTAATAGAAGTGTGAGGATATTCAAGAGATAGAAGGAATTTTTTTTTACTTTTTAAACACGGACCCATCATGTAAGACATCAACATTGTTGAGAGCTATAAACTGCATAAATCGTTTCTAGAATTTTTATGTTTGCATAAAGTGTTGTTTTAGTTGCTTTTATTGTAATTCAGGGTTAGATGAATTCAAATCATGAAAATATTTTTTTCTTTATAAAGTTTTGTTTATCAATGCTTTATGGTGCTGAATGTTGGTCATTAAAAGAGAAGCATAATACTAAGTTAAAGGATGAGTGACTTTATCCTTAGAGATAGGATACGAAATGTGCATATACGTGAAAAGTTTGGAGTAGCTCCAATGGAAGATAAGAGAGTACTTGCCTTAGATGGTTTGGTCACATAAAACAGCAGCCTTCCGATGACCCGGTTAGAAAAGTAGATGTATTAGATTTGACTTATGTTAAGAAAGGTAGAAGTAAATGTAAAAAAATTTCGTTTGAAAATATTAGAAATTATCTTTCTTTATTAGATTTAAATGAGAATTTGACTTTTAACATGACACAATGGAGAAAAGGATTCATATAGCTGACCCCACGTAGGGGGACCAAGGTTTGATGTTATTGTTGTTGTTGTAAAGTTTTGTTTATCAAATTAATTCAAGTCCTACATTGATAGGCTATATATATGTTGTATGTTATGATAATTACAATTTAGACTTCGTTTGAGATAGTTTTCTTCTTGACTTCAGAAGTATTTTTTGGTATAAAAATTTAATGTGACTCTTACATTAATAAATTTGATTGTAAAAGCTCTTTTTGAAAATTAAAGTTTTTAATAAACATCACCAAAAATATATATTTAGCAATGATTTATGAAGTAAAATAGGAAAGAAGCTGCTCCAAACATATAAACGAAAAATGTGTATGAATGACCATGTGATAAAATTTTTTTTAATAGTACTGAGAAATAGTTGGGTTAAGATGAATGATTATAATAGGCTACAAAGTGTCAGTTGGTGCTGGAGAAATGCAAAATAAAAGTACATGTTTCTCCATATATGCTAAAAGTAGTTAATATGAAGCCATGTGAAGATGTCTCCTTTTTTTTCAGTAATCAATTGAACATAGCAATCAATCAATGAGATTCTCCTTTTCTTTTTTTTCTTTTTCATGATGCTAACCTGTTTATTATTTTATTTTTTCCAAATTTCATCTTTATGTGTTGGAGATGTTCTCTGAATTGTTAGTTGGGGTATCTCTTTCCTCTATGAGATGTCCTGTCAGGATATGGGCTTGATTTACAAAATGATGAGAGGTGAAGTGGATGTCAGAACCAATCATCAAAGCTTTCTATCAAAGGAAACGCCACAAAAAAAAAAAAATTCAAATGTTACTGTCAACAGCCAACCAAATGTCAGCACCTGTAATTTTTCTTTTTTTTTTTTTAAATATATATTTTTAGTTCTATGCATGTTTTATGAAGCTTATTTAATTGCTTGAAATTGAAACTATAAATTGTCATATTTATTATTTGATATAGAGTACATATAAAATAATAAATTCAAAATATCATATTATGTTCATACATGTTCTAATTTATAGATATTTCTGTGAGTTTCACTTCATAGGATGATT